TAAGCGGAGATGGGAAACACCCATGTCAAATGATGGGGTCAAGCACAGAGTAACAAATATTTCATTGGCGTCTTAATTAGATTTGGTTTACTTGAAAGTGGGTTCTGGCTCCAACTCAAATCTTTGTCTAAGCACGCGAGTAGGTCTTTTTTCCTGATGTTCGACAGATAAGGCTTTAGTTTTTACCTCGCAGTTATTTTTGGGCACCACAGAAGCGGAAAGGACGGAACTCGAAATCCATTTATAAGGAATACGGGAGGCAAGGGTTTTAAAATGTTCCACCAGCATATGCAGGTGGCTCCTAGTGGTGCGTATGGCAAGCTCGACGGATTGGTTTCCCATCGGCGGTTCCAAATATGTCGAGAGTTATCAAGTCCTTCCAGCTCCGCAGATGCTCGTAACCTGCATGAAACTTTCATTCCACTTGGGGAAAACCCTGGTTCAGGGTTTCCTTTTTTAACGCGGAAAGGCAAAAGACAATGCCAAGACATGTGCACTGTTCAACTAAATCACCCGGAAACCACTTCGGCAGCCCTGTCAGTCAATAACAAACCTTTCTTCGACTCGGAGCCAAGCAGCCAAGTAAACAGAAAGCAAAGGCAAAAGTAGGTACAAATGCATATAACTTCCAAACCTGCGCTACTTGGACAACCCAGCATAAGTTTTCGTTTCACTTTTTTCGCTTTTGTCTACTGGAAACCGAAGTAATAGCAGGAAGTCTGTGATCTTCAAAATCTTCTGGAAGCTGTCCCGAATTAGCACTCAACAGTGGTTACTTAGAGTTTCCCATCCATTTGGCTTGTACAATCTCACCCTCAAGGCCGTCCTGTACACGATATCCCAGTGAGCTGCTCTCGCTACACATTTACGAGAGCTGTCGTCAGCCACCGATCAAATTCGTGTTAGTTTAATTTCCCTTGGCAATTTCATTTTAATTTGTTTTCCAACTGGGTCCTGGAATAACCGAGAAATGTTTTGTTGTTGTCTTCGATTTTGTCCCCAGTTGCCGATCTGTGTTTCGGGACTCAACCCCCGAAATTTCAGCCCCTTGAATGGAACTGAATAACACAGAGAGGCAGGGTGTAGACGCACGTGCTCTCACTTGCGCCTTCACTACCTGCTGGTCCCATACCCCAACATCACTTCCACGAATACGCAACTGGTTGGTGGCTGACGTGTAAGCACATTCAAACACACCAAATTCCAAACGCTCTGTGTGTGTGTTTAAACCGAATGCCAAACTTCCGGTCACGGGTTAAAGCAGGCAAGTCAACTTGATGTTCGCATCTGATGATGGTGTATGCATGCAAACTTCAGCAAGTCACGTCTTTCAACCCAATCTCGTAAGCCTTTAAACCAACGTCGGTGGGGCCTCTTAAATAGACTATCACGGTGATATGTATACGTTTGTAATCATGATAAGGAAAAGGGTTACTCTATGTAGCTATCCACTTCCATGTGATTTCATCTACAAAGTAGTGCTTTCTCGTTGACTTAGTTTTTACCAACACGTACAAATGAAGACCACAATAGGACGGGCTGTGGATTTGTCCATCGGGCTTGGCACATTCAATATACACGCCTCAACACCAGCCTTGGAGGTCATAGGTTATTTTTTAAGAATTAACATAGTTTGGTAGATGGGATGTTCGGCGTCCTGTTCATCGTCGGTCGGATCCAGGTACTTGGTTGGTCATTTTGGGTTTTTACTCGGACTGTGGTTGTTGATCAGGCTATTTACTAAGCTTCCGGTTGAAGCGACCTCCACTCCGAATATCTTTGCTTCGTTTCAGTGTTTGTGGGCTGTAGTATTATGTCCTGTTTCATTGATTTTCAAGTTGACAACTGTTGGAAACTTTTGAACTGTGTTTTTTGATCGAAAATGAGACTTTGTGTTTTTTCGGAACACTGTAACTGGACGGAATTTATTGACCATTGACCGCGTGGCTCCTGACCTGCTTACAGAGCTAAAAAGTTAGCATACAAACGTTCTATCATCATGTGGAGCCACGTGGAAATAGTAACTTTATTGCACGAGGATATTGGCCACATCTGCAGTTTCAATCATTCTATGTATATATATATATATATATATATATATATATATATCTGTTTGCGCTCTTCCCGGCAGTGTTTCACTTCGATAAAATCCCTCTCTACGGGGTGTTGATCCTTGGATGTGGAGGAGGGACAATCACTGTCATTTGTGTAAAGCTGTTCATGATTCCTTATCTGCGCCGGCGTATTCTCGGTGAGTTTTGTTCGCTCAGGCTCAACATTTGGACACGCACCTTGATAAATGGGGCAGTTCCTTTTCACTCACTGAACAGTTTGGTTTTAAGTTTTTCCCAATCAGAAGCCTTTGAATTCTTTCGAAGTGCTTCTTCCGTGAGTACGTTCAGTTTATTGTTGAAAATTTCGTCACATTTTGTGACAACACGCAGACTCATCACCCATCAAGAAACTTTGACGTGTTGATGATCTGCGTACCACAAAACGGGAACTTGGTGAGGACGTTCGAGTTAGAGGTGACTCGTAAACTAACCTAGTCCGTGAATGTGTCTTACCTTACTAACTACCGATGTGCCTGATATTCTCGCAGACACAATCTTCGGTTTACCAGAGCTCCCCAAGACTTCGCTATTGTAACTTCTACACATGTGGCCGCAACTTTGCTTAGTGTGTATTCAAATCACTACTTATTGTGACGGTTCAGTAGTTGAATGTAAAGTCGCAGATCCGCTCTCAATTTAGAGGGCAAGGTTGCCCGATTGAGCAATAGGATTTACCGTTCTTTGTGTTAAGAGCCGATACCAGTGCCAGTTAGCGCGGTGACTAAAGGATAATTAGAAGTAGTTCTGCTGTTGAATATCTTTTTCTTACAGTCTGTTTCGCAGCTAAAACCCCAAACTATTTTCCGTCCTTGTTTTCCCGTTCTATTCAGCCGGAGACGATGCCGGTCCTGGTTTAGGCGACAAGATGTATGCAGCTCTAAAATGCCACCGAGTAGAAATGCTCTGCCAACGACTGCGGAGAGATCGAAAGGCAAAGAAAACACTTGATAAAGAGGAGAACGGGAGTCAGAGAAAGCCAACGGAAATAAGCATCGTGGTGGAGGAAGCTAGTCCTGATCTGAATTCAAGTCGCAACGGGAGAAACGGGAAAACAGGTGTGGATGACAGACATGAATCTGTCACAAGTGTCTCCGGTAGACAAAACTCCTTCCGACTTGTGCCGACAAGTGAGTCTGATTTTATGCTGCCTCTTTTTGGCCTGAATGAATTATGTAGACACCCTAAATTTGGAATTATTCGTATTATTCATACTGTCTGCTATTTGGGTGTATGTAGTTATGGGATTTGTAGAATTTGCTCGCTCACAATCAGTCTCGCCATACGATGACACACTTTCAACGGGCGAAAGTATGGTTTCAATTCTTCTTGATATATTTTTTTCATTCCTTTATTGCTTAATCAGAATGTAAGTATAGTAGATACTGATCAACCTGTTCTACAGCCGAAATTAGAACTCTCCATTTTCTGTAGGATTTTCGCTCCACGTCCCAATAAGCAGTTTGGTTGGCAGTCTTGTATTAGTTTACATTACTCCTTGATGAAGGAATGCTTTTATTCCCCTGTTTTTGATCAGGTCTCCTTACTTGGGTGTCAATGAGTCGGTCTTACACACCACAGCTGTAGCAGAAGCAGACGGATTCTTCGGTTTCCTTTAAGTCNGTTTGGACGGACGGGCTAATTTGTTTGTAAACTGCCACTCACGAGTGCATGCAATGTATTCACAACAGACAACATGAACTTTTCTATCCAGGGGATGTGTGATCTCGCAGGGTGCATGTTCACGCAAAACCTAAATTTACATCTCAGTGAAACACAATCGAGATCTCCCGAAAAGTGCAGTCAGACATAAGAAAGAAGAAATCCACGGGAGCCTCGTTTGAACTTTTCTTGAATTACCTAAACAACCACTATATGATAAGTTGTCAACATTCATTTAGGAAACAGTCTCATTGGATCCTCTAACCAAGTATCAGTCAAGGCGACAGCGAAAGCGCCACTAACAGCTTGTTGAAGCCAGCTTTGATGGCTAGTGAACACTCGTCTACAAAGGGGCAAGTATGAAACAAAAAAGTCCCCTACTTGCGAGATTTGTCCACTAGTATTGTCAATATCCTTTAAACATTTTTATTTATAATGGTGTACAATATTTCGCAGTGCACTTCTTTCTTTAGCCTTTAACGACAGCGTTTCTTTTCCAGAATTTGAGGTAACTAGCACAAAGCCAGCGGAACCCCCTGCAGAACCTGTCCATTACTTGGCCGTGAGAGCGTATCCCACTGAGCACGACTTGTCAGTCACAAGACGTGGAATGTTGACACAACCTGTACTACCCCCGATTGGAGAGGTGAATCGCCTGTTTAATCTGCGTATGTAAATATATAAATGTAGACTTATCCTACCATGTCGTACCACACTTGCGGCTGAATGAGACCGAAGACAATTCATTATTTCGAAACAAACTGCCTCGTTCTTTCTTAGATTTGTATTACCACTCTCACTTGAACAGTTCACTTCCTGTCCTGGAACAGTTATACTGATTTATCCACATCAAACTGAGGGAGCAACGAACTCGAATTTCGCTCTTGTGAGAGTTGTACACTGGTACACTCGTCTAGCCCTGTCAAGGTTTGTACTACAAACACAGAACGCAGGACGAGCATAGTCTCGCTAGCACATTAGCGCACGCTCGATGCACATTTCTGAACAGAAAAACAAGGCCAGATGAGCATTCAAGCATACAGGTTCGCTTATCAAGGACTTTTTGACCAGTCACTTGCTTAGAATTTGAGTTTTCTTCACCTCCGACCTCCCGTGTTTGTTGGAGAGTTCTTCCCAAAAATTGATTAGCTGCAACTACTGTTTGAGGTGCGAACTTTCTTCGGAATTCCACAAAAGACGCGTGCGTGGCTAAAAATCAAACTGGTTCTGCGTACATGAGAGACCACACCAAATGAATAATAGTCTTTTTTCAGACCTATTGTGTCGGTGAGTTTTCACCCCACCTTATAACAGCTGACTTGGAAATTAATGGTAAGCAAACTATGGGTCCAAGGTCGATGTATGAAAGCCTAATTCATGGCGCCGATTCCTGATACTGCAGGAGTGTTCTGGAGGTAGCAGTGCATCTGGCATAGGCACGCAGGGATTTCTGGTATTCCTTATAGCTCTCTGAATTCCTCCCTCCAGAATGCTCACGCTTTTATTCTTGCTAGCCACTACTTAATCACCTGTGAACTGGCACATTTGAGCATCTCACAGGCAATTGTTTGCATTCGACTAACTTGCCATCAATAAAAAGACAGATCCTTATAGTCTCCCGCAGTTGTAGAGATCAGCTTAGTTGATCGCACTGGTGATCAACGTATCTATACGATGATTATTATCGATCTCACAAGGCAGCCACCCTTATTCTTATGTTGATAACTAAATAAAGACGCCTGTAAAACGCATTAATTCAATCTGCTACTCACAAACGTCAGAGATGAAAACTCTAAACACGCAAGCAACCAAAAAACACAAATTGTGTATTTTGGTTTAACTGATGCTCATGGACAACAGAAAGACCTGGAGTGGCTGCCTGACAAATCCGTACTGAAACAATGTGGAGCAGTTCTAAGTGTGTTTAGAGCTTTCTTGGTAGTCACTTCTGTTCTGTCAGGACGCTGTGTTGCGAACCAGAACTTTTTCACGCAAAAGTTCACGGGATACGTAATAAAGGGAGTATTATGTACACGATGTCCTGTCCATAATGACTAGCTGTACCATCTAAGAAGGCTTTCGGTCCCCTAGGGCTTTGGTTAAATATCTCGTCCAATTAGGCGTCACATCTACACTCCTTGCAGGACTTTTGAAGTTAACCCTTGACTACAGTCGGGAATATCTTTCAAAATTCATGGTGCCTGTTCTACAGCGTTTTACTGTGCATGCTACTGATGCATCGGGAACATCTTCGCACATCTTTGTAATTCCAAAAGGACTTTTAATCGAGTACAGCTCTCGAAATATGGGTCTAGAAAGTTGGTCGCACATAGAACTTTGAATACCAAACGAATCCTCCATGACCTAATTCACTGAGTTTTTTTGGAAAGAACAAGTGTATCTACAGGCATACACCTTAACCCTTCATGATGCACTGTCGATAAGCCTGTTCGTAACTACTTAGGTTCCATAATTTCCCACTTGAGTTTTAAAAAAAAATTCGAAAGCTTTTCACATGTAATCACTTTATGCGACTTAGCTAGAATAGATAATTACGGTCTCTTAGTAAGGTGATTCGTTGACCCGAGTCCAAGCCCTTTAACCAATCAGATAACCCAATGTAATAGCCTTGACTCAACCAAATTTGTTTAAACGAAGGGAAAAATCAATACAACACCCGTCCTATTACTTTTAGGAAGAACCGCAGGAACTGGAAATAATCAGCGATCGTCCACACGAATACAAGGTGTTTTCGCAATTACAAATCCTCACAGCTGTGTTCGATTCGTTTGCGCACGGAGGCAATGACGTCAGGTAGAAACATTTTTTTCGTGAGAATTCAATCTTTTCTTGATGTCTGTTTATGCCATCTGTGAACTCGCACCAGGACTCTGAACGAAATTTGTATATTCATGTGAATTTTTTACTCAGAGAACAAATTCGTCTTTTTGACACTATAGGTCAGCCTTCTTACAATGACTCAGGTTGATGTTTTTAACAATGTAGGCACATCTGTTTCAAAATTATAGAGAAACGGATTTTTGACTCTTGAGATGTTTCAATCTGACATGTCAGAATGTTGACAAACGATTTCGATCTATCCGAAAAAATTGGAAAGTACAATACCAACTGAGATAATAATAAAAAAAACGAAGGCAAGCGATCCATGAAAGTAAAACAAGAACGAGTTGAAGTTTGTGGATAAATGTTCGAAAAATGCAAACGTCACGATCAGTTCGTCTGAGTAGCCAGCTGTCACGTGAACGAGCGACGAAAGACCCGATACGCTTACGAATGCCTTCTGAGTGTACAGAATCCGGGTTGCTTGGGCGAATCGCGCTTGGCTCATATGTGATCACAAATTGATACTGAACGGATCTTGATAGGTTCTTGGTAAAGTACTAAACAAGCGGTGTTAGAATTAAGCACATCACTAGCATCAGCCGAATGGGCGACCACTGGGATAGTAATGGGCTTCCCCGATCCAGTTGTCAGCCTAAATGTGTTATCTTCGTTTGTCCTTTCGCATGAGTGCCGTGTCGTGCGCCCTATGCATTGACGATAGCATGCGAAAAAGAAGGCTCTCTTGCTCCGAGAGTGACAACCAACCTATCTTTGAGATGTGGGAGCATCACCGACACAAACGCCCAGTTACGTAGTCTGTGGATAGTTTTTCTCTGGAAGGGAAACCGATAAAAACAGCTTTTCTTCCGCTGTGACTAGTTTGGTTTTCTTGTTTGCAGCAGTGGTGTGTTTTGAGATGAACCCGTCCAGACAAGCATTTTTTATGAAACATGCTAGCTAGCGACTGAAGTTTGGCCTCAAGACCGCTTTCAAAGCAGTTTTTCTTTTCGTTTCAACAACAAACCTAAGTAAGTTCACTTATGCTTCAGTGAAACTAAGATGCCAAAGTTATATTTGTCCTGTCGGTTAACCGAAAGTTTGACAGCTACTTTAAGCATCTGTACGTTCCTCTGTTCCCTTTCGGTCCACTGTGCTTTAATGAACTTCAGTGAAATCTTTGGTAGGTATGAGGAATTGTATACAACGTGTATATACCATCCAGGTATCGTGGGTAGATGGAGTCGATGGCCCACAAGTCTTCCCATACAAACATTACCTAGGATTCGGCCCAGTGGGGAACTCACTGAGACACCATCATGTTGTTGGTGCATATGTTTTTGTTGAGCTGACTTTACACATCATCTGTTTATTGCAGTAATAATCCATTTAAACCATCACTAGTCAAAATGATAACAGATGGCTTCGATGAGCGGGACGTTCGTGAAGGAGGAAGATACATCTAACGAAATCATGTGCCCCTCGACTTTATTCACCCCCGTGGTCGCGTCCATAAATGTAAACCTACCTTGACGGCAGTGCTAACATATCCTGTAACTAAATATTTCAAAAATATCCGCCTAGGATTTAGCTGAGGTACAATATGGGGACCTGGGCGTATCAAGGATAGGTCTGAGCGGACGGCCTGGTTTGTGGATTTTGGATAGTGCATATAGTTTCCGATCAAAACATTTTAAAGTGTTTGTGCTATCAAATACTGGCAGTTTTTACTTCCTGCAAAATGCTAAGCATCTTATGCTTTTTGAATACGGTACTGAGTATCTATCTACTTGACAAGATCTGTTCAATGTAGGTCTACACCCAAAGTTGGGGTAGTCGCAGTTCGCTCATGCAACCCAAATTTTATGCACTCGGAAACTTTTGCACACATGATGGATGTTGCCTAGTCTGCTCATTCGATCGCTGGCTACTCAGACTAAACGATCGTGACGCAAACCGTTTCCAAACACTTACCCTCGAACCTCATTTTATTCTTGTTTTACTTGCATGAACCGCTTGCTTTTAGTCTTGTTATCCCTGGATCTCTATCGGCCAGAAGAATGGACCACGAAGAAGTTGACTGCCGTCAGCTTATTTCGTGGATTTTACACTGGCACCTACGCATATTTCACTTTTTCTTTGGAATCGTCAGCAGATGCCTTTTGCAAAGCTCCAGGAATTTCCAACCCTGTAACATCCCAGCCGGAATTTCGATCATTTTACGATTTGGCTAAAAGCGGCTGATCATCATTTTTCCCATCTTAGATACTCAAACAGGATGTAGCCCCACTTTTCTTTCGATCGAGGAAGCCATTGCACGTGGTTTTGCGTTGACTGAAAGCTTAAGGGAAGCTTTTCGGATTCTTAGATCCGCTGGTTGTATCAATTATCGTTCCTTTTTAGTCATTTACAGTTCAGATACTCCTGTGAACGGAATTTTTTTTACTGCAAACCTGAACCAAAACCTTTTTCCCACTGTGATTAACCGTGCATTCTCCTGTACGTATGAAAGGAAAGTTGGCTACATTTTTAAACCATTTGATAAGTAAAACTATGATATTGCAGGATAATTGTGACTCATGTGGTGCGAATCACGCAGTAGGGAAACGTTGGGTCGGAATTGGTGGATCCGTTCACCTAACAATGACTCGGAACATCTGTTTCAAGGAGTTGATGTTTTCGTCGACTCTCGAAGTGGTTTCATTAATCGAATGGGCCGTATGGATGCATTGAATTTTCAATTGCTCTATACTAACGCACCAGTGCGGTTGACTAACTTGTGCCCAGTCAACCACAGACGAGTCAGACAGTAAACCATGCTCACTTGGTTCAGGATATCATCAAAAGTCGACAAGAGATTCATTCATTAATTACAGACGTGTGTTACACCGAAGGTTTCAATTATATGATAAAGTCAACTGGAAAGTTCCTAAGACAGGGTAAATAAATCATGTCCGCAACGATTTTGAATCAAAAAGTCATTTTGATTTTTTCCACATACCAAAAGACAGTGTTTGGTCTTTATGTCTGACTGACTACACCCAACATCGACTTTGGCTAGCTGAATATAAAACCTTCAAGGGCGATACCATGCAGCGAATTTTGTACCCTTATTGGATAGCCCAGAACCTACAGTCCGGATGGTTTAACTATTATTGCCTTTCCCTTCTATGGAAGGGAGACAGTTACAGAATGTATGGGTGTTTCAGTGAGAGTACTTTTATCGAATAACCTACTCAGAGTTCTTGCATGAAGTTTCCTCTTTCTGCGCATCCCGAAAGATTACCAACCAAACGAAGGCACTGCACATTTTTTCTGAATTGTCTGGCAGTGACCTAGGGTCGGTCACGCCATCTATTTACTTCAAAATCGGCTGAAGCAAACTAATCCAAAACACCGTGTTCAAACAGAGACACTAGGCATTGAGATTGATTAATCGTCCTTCCTAACGGGCAGTAATGTATCCCTGAGATGCCAGTTTCGGAATCTCGGATCTGATCATTCACAGATCGGAGTTAACACACTTCGTATTAACACATGGTCAGATCATTGAATCTATTACAAACGAACACGTCCATTGTGCCCAAAAGACTGAAAATCTGACAAGTTGTTTTATACCTTTTGTTTTACCTAGTAATGCCATCGGTCCCGTGATGGGTTTGTGGATTGTTGGAGTCACACAAGAAGTGAACTCCAAGATGGCTAACCCATACTGGATCCTCATTTACGGCGGTGTTGGCATTGCAATCGGTCTGTGGGTTTGGGGTAGACGGGTGATCAAAACTCTCGGGGAAGACCTCACCATAATAACTCCATCAAGGTGAGTCCAACCCAAACGAAAGGCTTTTATTGCACGACGGAAAATTATACAACTGGCGTGAATTTCAGTGCATCGATATAACGTTTTCCACGTCTACCACTTTGGTTGTTCAATAGGCTTCGGTTGGCAATGCATTCTCTCTCTGAGTGCAATTGTCGTGAATTCCCGTCATCAGAGAATCAACGTCCAACGATGATTTTCCCACAGTCGGCGCACAACATTTTCTTACAATACCTTAAGTTTTAATTGCATTCTTGAATGTGTTGTTCACCATGATTCTACCCTCAAACAAGCTTCCTAAACCGGACTTTCCAAACAGGCTTCAACGTGAATAATTTTAAAGTAGAAATGGCCAAATGAGAAACGCGGAGTTTCAAATGGGTCGTTTTGTTTTTTTGCCAGAAAATTGCTATATTTTTTTTCACACGGACTCAGTTATTCAGTGGCGAGATAGTTTTTCCGAGTAGCGGTTGCACCGGCTAACACGTGACACCATCTGAAAGTTCAGTAAATGGTTCATTCCTTCAAGAGACATTCTTCACGATACGGTGATGCTAACAACTGCTCTGATAGATTGTTTGCTGGAGCATTTCAGCACCGGATTATCACAGAATCGACTACACAGCCAGTCAACTCTTGTTTGTCTCCAGTTGTGCTCAGCGTTTATCGCATCTCGTAATCTTCATCTGGTGCTATTATGCACAGCACGCCAGTGCGGCTCAGTTTATGACATCGTGTTCAGAGTCGTGGATTGCTACCCATAGATGGTGCTACGGAATCTGTGGTCTGTTCGACTATGTCCCACTTTGCTGGATGCTATTTCCAGCATCATGCTGCGCTACACGATTATTTGTTTGGCTTATTGATTTTCTAACATCATTCTACAAGACCCTAAACGTTGCGCTTCTAACATCATTCTACAAGACCCTAAACGCAGCTCCTTGCGGTTCAAAGCTCTGCAGGTCTAACTTAGGGTGGGGTCGAAGGTTAGTTACCCGGCAAATGCATCGATCAGTAGAATTATGCACCACGGACGAAAGGTAAACAAAAACGTCTTCAGCCTTCGACAAGAATTGGACTGGAATCAAGTTCGAGTTTAAGGCTTCTCTTACGCCTAACGCAGCACTGCCGAAAAGGGGGTCCAACAGTTTTTGTGGATGGATTGGAAAATGTCTTTATTCACGTCGATAGTTGTTAGTGAGCTCACCTTATATGGTATAAAAGTCAGGAAACCTCCGGAATAAAGAACTTATCATGTTCGATTGACGTCAGCCGAGCTGCAAGCAAATCTCGCTTGTTATTCCGTTTCGGGAACTTGGTCCCTGTGAAAACTTCAATTTGGTCTGTCTAGATTACTATTCAACTGGGGTTAAATGCTGTGCCATGGTGTTATCCCGTGAAAACATCCCTCCAAGTATCACTGTTCTACTTCCATTTTAGTGGAGTTTGCATAGAGCTCGGGTCGGCAATGACTGTGCTGTTTGCCAGCAAGCTTGGATTGCCGATTTCCACCACTCATTGTCAAGTTGGATCTGTTGTTGCCGTCGGTCGGTTTCGTTCACGTGACAACGTCGATTGGCGAATCTTTCGAAACGTGATCATTGCCTGGGTCGTCACTGTCCCGGCGGCATGTGGAATTTCCGCGCTATTGATGTACCTTCTATCATTTGCTATATGACATTAAACAGGAAAGAACCTTTATTATTTGAATAAGGAATTTACAAACAGCCAATTCATCATTTGAAAATACCACTTCTTTCTTACCTGGAGTAAAACCGCTGTGCGATATCTTAGATTACTTTTGGAAACATTTTGTGACTATATAAATGCGCAATACTTCGTGACATTTTCGTTCTTGATCTGACCTCTCAGCGGTCAGGTATATCGGCTATGCTTCCAAATAAATAAACGGCCGAATGAGTTGGGGCATTCGACTTTTTAGATTCTTCAGCTAACTGTTAATCAACCAGCATTCCACTGATTCCCAGATGAACATATCAACGTTAAATCTTTCAAAAGATAAAGTTCGAGTAGATACTGAGTTGCGTTTCTTGGAATCGATTAGCAACATGCGACATAACCGGAAGAATGTAGAGTTGCCTAGCACATCCCCAGTGGTCCAGCGATGAGAAAAGGCTAAATGTCGTTGAACCTCTTCAGACAGACTGAGAGTCCAATGTTCAGTTGCTTTTGACATGGTCTACATAAAATCCATTGTCATGTTTTCCACACTTCTGACTGGCAATCTTCCGGTGGATGTATTAGCGTGTGAGCTACACTTCTTCGCCGACAGTCACACTAAAATGATAGGGCACATTACTGGATGCGTGATTATTGCCTGTATATGACACTGTTTTTATAGTACACACAACTGAGGCGAGTGGTGAGTAACATCTGTTTACCGCTTAAAATAGCATTCGGTGGCAGCGATCTGATTGCAGACTTTTCTGTCAGTTGGCCGTTAAATTTGGCACGTGAATGGGGAGCAGCCACTGTTCGTGCTCCCGGTTTATTTGGCTTATCAATAAGCGCTCTGGAGTGTGGTGGTCTGGCTATCCAATAAGTTACTTTACCAGGAGTGTGTGGCAAAGGAATAAAAATAATAACGCTAGATTGAGTACACAATAATAAGGTGGTCAGATGGATCAGAGTCATCAATAATTGTTCTCTTTAAAATAGTTCGTCGTTGGCCCATTTCACCGAATAAACAATAATCCAATCATGGTTGTCCAGCGGTCTTCTTCTGAACAGTTCTCACTCAGATCCCGAAGACAGTCTGAAATGTTTTGATAGCAGAGTTAACACATGAGACTCACAAATGACCGCTGTAAGCGTGGGCGAAATCAGAAGAGCTTCGGAACACGTGACCACGTCTGTATTGCGTGAAAATGTACAGGTGCGTGTTTTAGTCGTTTTTCGTGACCTAAAGTGAACCTGGATTTCTCTGGAAGGTGAAGGACGGAAATCTCAGAGTTGTCAAAGGCGTTGCCTCTCTCTTCCAACTACTACCAGTCTCGATAGGCAAAGTGATCCTTGAGCTCATTAAGCTACAGAGTCTCTAGATATTTGGATCGCACCTGCTAACGAACGAAACACGAAAACACCAACAGGAATAAACTCAGCCTTATACCAACATCAACAGGTGTGTTTTGGACCACCAGAACCGAAAGCTTGGAAAAAGTGTGCAGGTGATAGCAACGCTGTATGGAGAGAAGTGACTTCAAACGCCGTACACAGACACACAAAATTGGCGCGCATCAACGAGTACATAGAATGCATAGACAGCACAGGGACTTCAGGCGTTCATAATAGAAAGTAATCGCTTAGTGGGACACTAAAAGCTGTGTAGGTAGGATACATCGTTCACCTTGTAGGCAAACAGGCAGCCTTTTACTGTAAAAGGAAATTCATTGAATAATGCGGTGAAAAAGCGCATAATTTTGGCACATCGAACGCTGTCTCATCTCACATACAGAGACGGTAAAAGAAACGGGTCTTCTTAACGCTCATATCTGCGCTTCAAGACGATGCAACAAACCGCAGCCTGTGATCGTTCCCCAATTAGACATGCAAGTTTTGAGGTCAGCTACATTTTGATGATTTGATAAGTATCTTGATAATGGCAGCAATACATCATTGCACGCACCATGTACACATGACGTGCCATGGATATTGTCCAGCAGGTTGAGAATGAACCAGGCACCCTCTCTTGAAAGCAGAAAATAAAAATTATCTCATGAATGTAATGCACGTCCATTGATGTTTCTCAAGGACCAAGAGTGGCAGTTTATTGTCAACCAAACCAAAAAAGGGGAAGATGAAATGATTTTCAGTGACATTTCAAGTTAACATGGCAGTGGCAGCGTGTTTCCCCTTTAATTTTATCTTTCACTTTATAGTTGTCATCCCGACAATGTCCCTTATGAAACCGTGCTACAAAAATGTAGTGCGTTTGGCATTATCTGAACTGTGTATCAGTGATAAACCTTATGCTTGTCTAGCTGGACATCATTTGCGAAATTGTAAACAAAATGCCCCCTATATAACCAATCGCTATTAAACTTATGTGCGGGAGCGTGAGGAACTCAATGCTCTATCTGGGACCCGGCACGGTGCACCGTGTTTAACAGCCGGCCTACACGTTCCTTCCCCCCTAAAAATCATGCTTTGTATTACATCAACAGATCAGACTGACAGATAATTTGGCCGTGACGTGCGTTCTCCTTCTGCGAAAACCTAAATAACCTTATTCAGCTGCTGCTGCTGCTGCTGCTAATACTTCCAAACTTGGTGGCGAGGCAATCGTTTATTCCACCGAGACTAAAGATCACCGCGAACCTTAGTTTTTTTCGCCAAGTCCACCTTTAGGTTATAGGGGATCTGCATTCACCGTTTTACGGATGATTCCGTGCACCTTCTCTGGAACCACTCGCATGGACTTCCAAATACACTATGGGGCCCAAGTCAGACTCCTTGGTTAGTATGCCAACCAAGTTGTCTACTCAGAACGCACGAAAGACGTCAGCCTCATTGAGCGAATCCAGCGAGCCACTACGAAGATGGTTGCCGGCCTAAAATCCGTGGACTACGAGAAGCGTCTTGCGGTGCTTGACCTCTCTCCCCGGGAATGCCACCGCCTCCGAGGGGACCTAATTCTTACCTATGTCCTGCACCGTGAAGCATTCTCAGCATGGCATATGATCTGCTCTAGTCCCTCCTCGTTGTAAACCACGAGGTTCCATTACTCGTTTAGTATGCATTTTGCTCGTGCCGGCATGTGTGAACAGTTGTTTCTGCTCTGTTGTTCTCGTATCCGGAAGAATCCACTTGAGCAGTTTCAAAGAAGTGCGCAGCATTCTAGTTTTGTTCGCTTCAAAGTCAAATTCTATACCTGTGATCCGTCCGCCATCGTACAATGCAGCCAACCCCTTCCTGGTCTTCTTAAAGATTTGGGTTCAAAACACGTTTTGGTGCTTTACAATTTCCGTGTGTTTCTCCTCCATAGCACTGCTGTATCAAGCCACCCGACGTCATTGCATTCCATGGACAATATCGTTTTATCTTTAAACATTCACCACCTTGAAGATCTGTCAGTATGTACGAGAATACTGAACCATTCTATTGGATGGATATGGCATCACCAAGAGTAGCCCAACTGCGATACATCCAGGTGGATTTATACGTCTCTCATCACCCTCAGTATCATGAATGATGCCCTCATTTCCGGGCTCCGAGAGTGATCTGTGTAAACAAGAAAACCAAACGAAATTTTAGAACCACTTTCAGCTGTTTTTGTCGAAGGCTCAAGTTCAGCCTTGTTCTAGTGTGTATCCCGAAATAATCGGCTTCCTAATCTATTACATTAAAAATTCAATGACGAAAATTTCTCCTGAACGTGAAAGAAGGTTGCGATTAGCCAAAGACACGAGACACGAGACACGACAAAGCTCGCTGTACAAAGTCAACGTTCTCTTGTCTAGGCGACACACACAAACAAAACAGTGAGATGCGCACCTCACACCAACTTAGTATCCACGCGTACCCTGAAACCTTGCCTTCTCCTGGCCACGCCTCAGCTGCTTTCCGGTGTTAAAACCCCACGCATGCCTCAGACAGTGAGCCAACTAAGATGGCACACTCAGATCACTCAGACACAGAATAATTAGAAGCTTGAAGAATGACAGAGAACGGGTGGATTTCGAGGAGCCAGGAAACGCGTTTTCAAAGTTGCGACCTCCACGGTGAGTTAGTCTAATCCGCTTGCAACTTTCGGTCGTTGCATTTAGTTTAATTAAGCAAAATTTCAAGGTCACTCGCCTTCATCGATTTGCATTTTTTGCCGGTTTGCGCGAAATAAATCACGAAATCGCGCTTAAGCCCATTTCGAAGTTCTTCGGTGATCTTTAAGAGTGGGATAATATCTACAGAATACACAATTCAGAGTCCATTCAGCAAAATCGACCACTGGCGTGTTGCCACTCACCTCGACTACCCATCCTAAGTGCTAGACCTGTGTGTCCTTGCGACACGGATTAGAGGGTCTCATCAGTGCGCGCTAGCCTAATCCGATGGCCAAAGGTGGCCCGTCATTCTTATACGTGTTTGTGTTTTCGCCCACCCTGACTACTTACAGTAATTGCCGGGCCCGTTCCGGTGCACGCAGGTGATGAAGAGGCCCCAACTATATATTATAGCCAAATCCAACAACCAAAGACAGCCCTTAATATCCTCAGACGACGTGCGTCTGCCGTGCATCGGTACAAAATAACGCGTAGTTGATATAGTCCTGGTTTTCAGGAGGCAGGTTTTACTCGGCAGGTTTTTGTAAGAAAAATGTGTAATCAATTACAACTCGTCTGCATCCTACGCAACATAACTGAAAACACATAATCAAACAAAGATTTAGTGGCTAGTGGCCGTAGTGGCTAAGGTACACAGACAACCTAACTATTCTTGGATCGGACCACGTGGTAAGGCAAACAATAGTGAATAACCTAACTAATTCCACCTCACTGCTTGGCATACGCTTCACACTTGAAAAGTGTAAAGGGATATTGCAAGATTGGATGGGTTCGTACCCTAGCTTCATGCTTCCGGATGAACCGACTAAGATAATAGATAAACTCGTTTACTTGGGCAGCTGTATCAGTCCCGGCGGTCTCGCGAAAGATGATAT